ATTTTACCAAATTTTTGCCTTTTGTGTGTGTTTGTGTGTGTGTCGTAGCTAAAGGCGACAGTGAAAAAGATAAATACGCTTAATGTCTGAAACTAAAAACACAAAAATGGGTCTATACAACCGCGGTCTTCCGAAAAATCTGATCAAACCGCGTCAGAGGGAATTAAACTATTAAAATCTGAAATGCACCAATACCAATCTCACCGTTTCGTACAAAAATTATCTCCAACGTAGCCAATATAAAACCTAAGAGTGTAACCACTGTTTTTTTTTCTTTTTCTTTCTACTCCTTTCTTCTTCCTTGCTCTTTCTCTTTCTCCTTCTGCAGTGTGATTTTCGAGCTTGACTGGAACAAAAAACCCTAGTTTTGACCCCTTTTCACTCAAATTGCTGCAAAATTCATCAGGGTCGTTTTCAAAGAGATGTTGCCACCTGTAGTCAATTGCATCACTTATAAGGACTAACGCCCTGAGAGGTCAATACTCGTCCGATGTCCACAAGCAACGACAATGGAAATCAAATAATGTTCAACGCTGTCACTTTTCTAAACATTAAGCTATGAATGCCATTTTTCATGTGAGAATGAACATTTCGCGATTGTTCAAAATTATTATTCAGTCACTTCATTCTCGACTATACGTTCTTGCAAGGTTGGTTTTTTATTATTATTTTCTTTCTCCTCTTACTTTTTGACATGAGTGCGTTTATTTCAAAGCATCTTTATCAGTTACCACTCCAAAAACTTTGTTCTTTGTATACTGGCTAATAAGTAAACAACAATTCTGTTTTAATCCTTTCATACCTTGAACTTTTTTCTCAGCGTCCACATTCACAGCAAATGAAAGAGAACCTTTCTAACAACGACTTCATGAAATTGCAACTCAGCATCATGGCAGAAGAGCTTTAATTATTTATTTCTAGAATAAATCACTTAAATACGTTTGCTAAGCCGCTTTCAGTCCTTTTGCTGACTTAAAGAGCCCTTGTGCCTTTTTTTAACTCACACTTAATGAGGTATAACTCATTTTCTTGGCATAAATTCTTCTTTGAGACTTTTAAAGCCGACTGATGTATCCATCCTCAAGGGATGGTGAAAAGACGTCTCATAGACACATGCATTAGCGATGTAATTTTCACTATCATAAGAACATCTGTTGTAATTAATGTTTCTCAAATGTTCAAAAATTTGCAGTACAACAAAAAAACAGAATAAAAGTTGCCGATAGAGATGGGATAAAAACATTTATAAAAACATTTTTTCTTCAATTTTCAGTCATATTAGTGCACAAAATCTTTTAAAATCCTGTCCATGCGCAATTTTCACTTAGTGACAAAGTTTACTATAAGTTTACCGATGAATCTCGATAGCGCGGAAATTGGTAGAAAAATTACTGAACAGTAGCTAGTGTACATAATGTCCATCTTAGGCAGGAGACGCGCAAGAAAAGTTAAACTTCGTGCCAAATGGATTCCAAAATTACTTCACACAAAAGAGAGATGAAGCCGATAGCATTCCTTCTAGGTGACTAATGGAGAGGAGTGTTTCTTGGTTAAAAGGTTTCACTGAATGGTTTCTTACGCCGCAAAGTGAAAGAGAAATAAAGCTTAAAGAAGTAGAAAGGAGAAGCTATTACGGTTGCGCATCCTTTGATCTTTGAGACAGAAAAAAATCATAATTTAGTCTTTCATTCGAATAGGAATCTTTTTCTGATTAGATTATTGTGTAATAGGTTTCACTAGATTTGACCTCATTTTCCGAAAAGCATTTAAAAGCTTGCTATTTGACCTCGTTTTCCGATAAGCATTAAAAGGTTGCCAATGTGCACATGTAGTAGATGGGGGTTCTACGAAAACAAATTTTCGGTATTTGATATTTAAAGAGAAAGAAAATTAGTGCCTCGGTTTATATTAGTAAGCGTTTAAATTGAGGGAGAAATTTAGATGTTATCTGGGAGTGAGCTCCTCGAGCGTAAAAAAGATCTTGCCGAAACGTTTTATTTTGTAAGGTTCATACGCTGCTCGATTTTTCTCTTGATCTTTGTTGCTCTCTCTGGTTATCATTCCCAACAAAAATAGACTAATTTAGTTAAACAATATGAAATATGTATAGCTATCGTTTACAATAAACCCTCGAGCGAGACTAACAACTCCGTTACTAGAGATCTTTTACGTTTTTGTGGCTTGAGATTAAACGAGAACTGAGGACAAAAATCCTTTTCCGATGAAAGATTATCAGCGATGTATTTTTCCCATGGTACTGTCCAGTTTAACTTTCAGTTATACAAATTGTAGCCCAAAAACTGTTGGAGTGAATTATTCAGGTTGGAGAGCAAGCTGTGGTCAATTAAACTATATCAGAGTCCTTAAAGTTATAAATTTAAAATGAATTGCACTCGGCTAAAGTAATGTCCGTGTAAATAAAGGCGCTAAGTTTTGACTACAACAGTTTTTTCCTTTTTTTTTTTCTATACAAAAGATTGTGGATAAGAGCTGAACACGT